TGCACCCTGGCCTGCTGCTAGCTCCCCTGGAGCTGTGACCAGCAGGGCCCGGGAAAGCAAGGAGAGGACATCGGAGTGTGAGATCTTCTGAGAAAGGGAGAGCTGAGCGGGCAGTAAAAGTGTCGTAAAATCTTTTGTATTGGTAGATCAGACCCCTTTCAGAAAATCTCTTTTTATATTGGTAGACCAGACCCCATTCACCAGTAATTTATAAGCAAAGCCCCAAGTTAGGAAAATAAGCCCCGGGCTAGGAGCAACTCATACCTCTGAAAGCAAGCAGAGGTCCTCCCGGATATTTGAAGTCCGAAAACTGTGGTTGTGTAGGTAAAGCCGGTAATTGAGCAACCCATACTCTCTTGGGGAGCAAATGAATCCTCGAAGACCCCTTTTTGGTCTTAAATTGTGGTAGAGAATCCCTGAAGGAGTGACACATACTCTGTTAGGGATTCCAGAGTGCTCCACGGCCCCTTTTTGGCCGGAAAACTGTGGTTGTAGGTGGCAGTCTCACAAGGAGATTTCAAGTGCATCAGACCCGACTGAGCCGAAGTGAACCTCTACATCGGAAATAGGGGAATCATGGGATGTTTCAATTCAAGGGTCAAGATAGGCTCCCCAATGAAAAGCTTGCTTGAAGCCTGGGATGGGAATCAGCTACCCATCCAGACAGGTATAAAAAAGAAACAGTTAAAGAAATTATGTGAAAAATGGGCTTTGCTTAAAGATGAGTGCGGAAAACAGATTTGGCCAGAAGGCGGCACATTCAAATTCAAAACACTGAAAGCACTTAGATCCAGAATAGAACCAGCCCAGCTACCCTATTGGTATTGCTGGGCTGAACTGTCCAGATTAAAAAGTCAGGCTCAAATTGAGTTCAAACTACAGCCTCCCTTAGATGACCCAGACCCAAAAATCATGGGCCCCATACTGAACAGGCCTGTACCCAGGCGATTGAGGGACCAGGCTGAACATATTTTAATCCACACCCCCTTCTCCTCGTCTGACTTGGTTGTTTGTACTTTTTCTTATGTATAACTTAGACCTAGATATAAAATTCAAAACATATCTTAATAGTTTACCAAAATGGGCTGAAAAAACCTGTATGGAATTTACAGATAGGCAAGTAGAAAGTTATTCATTTAGAAGAAGGAAAATGAGATGCAAGGGAAGAAGGATGGGGGATGATAAGAGTATTTCTGAAAATGATCTCAAAATTATCATTGATTTCAAACCAATTTGCTAATAATTCAAACAAGAACAATACTGATTAGGAAATATGTATAGCTGTAGGAATTTTGATTTTACATTTCTGGCTTTCCTTTTGCAGTTTTCATTAGTCGTATCCAATTTCAAATCATAATAACACTAGGCGGATCTGTGGCTCTATGTATTTGTGGATGATCCTTAGTCTGGCCTCAACAGGTGGAGGCATGCTTTCCCAAAATACCATTAGACTTCCTTTTATGCTGCTCTTGTATCTTCTTTGGTTTCAGCTATAAGTACCAGCTGCCCCATCTATTTTTAGGAGAAGTGTGCAAGAGTACCATGGAGTGGAAAATTTTCCACTGCCCCTCTCTAAGTTGTAATAAATCTGACTCATGTAAAATGATAGCATGTTTCTTTACATATCACCCTTCTCTCTCTCACTAACAGTACTCTCTGGTACATGTTATTTCAATTTTCCTGGCTGTGAGTCACTTGTATGTAAGCCTGGTAATAGCTCATTAAAACAGATTTAAAATGAGAGGTCATTTGGTTATCTTCCTTACCATCTCAGATTGTTTCCAGCAGGTAAAAGTTTTAATGTGTTTTACTACAGTATCTTTTATATTTTAAAAAGATGATTGCAAAAAGAAATTGCTTTGTTTTTCCTTGCTAAGTGTTCCATGATCTTTTTTTTCTTAATATTTATGCCTTGGTTTCATGCATTAATTTAAAAAAAACCCTAAAATATTAATAAAAGGAATTCTATGGCTACCTCATGGAGAGGCTTCAAAGAGGGAAATTCGAGAGAAAATTATGGTGATTTTAGGTATGTTGTTGAGTTAAATTTAAAACTGCTTCTAGTGAAGATGTTAAAACCAAGAATACAAATTATATCTGGACATGGAATATTTAATAATAATAATAGTAAGTAGGAATTTAGAATGTATATGTTTTCAATAGTGGTATATATATGCATATGATTTTTGTGTAGAGTACCACTTGTTCTTTTTTAATAAAGATTATTTTGATGTAATTTTATTAAAATCCAATGTATATTTTGTGGCAGAGCAAATTATACAGCACTTGATAGAGCAGCCATGAAGGCATTGTAAACAATATTCAGATTCCATAATGGGTCCATGCCTACAAAGATTGGAATAGTGAAAGCAACTGTATTCACTGTGATACTCTGTGGAAGTGAACATTTCGAGAGGAACAATATTGAGGCTTTGGAGTTTTGGTGTTGGAGAAGACTCCAGAGAATACCACGGAAAGCCAAGGGGGGAAAATCCCAAACAAAGCAATCCAAAGTTCTCGCCCAAGGCACAAATAACTAGGCTCAAATTTTGGATAAAATACAAATGTTTAAGCCTTTAAGTATGGTTTGAAATTGAAGTCTCATCTACTAAAAGAATGAAAACATCATTCCAAGTAATCAGAGATAGCAACTTTAAGGCATTGCACAATGGATTTTGTCAGTATTTAAGTTAAGAAGCAGAACAAATTGTGCAATGCAAATGTGTGCAGTTCTTCAGAAACTAGCTTTTTTTTCTGCAGAATTTAAATTATAACTTTAGTAAATGTATATGGAAATTTTCAGTTATCCAGATCATGGTTGTCCCCAAAGTGCTTTTTTTTGGGGGGGGGGGAGTGCCAGCATACACCAAATTTTGGTTACTCACTGTACTAAGTATTATAGTTATACTAAAGATGCTTTTTCAAGAGGCAACTGGATTTTTCGTTGCCTCTTGAAAGGAAGTCCAGTTGCCTCTTGAAAAAGCATCTTTAGTATAACTTTAGTACAGTGAGTATCCAAAATTTGGTATATGCTGGCACTCCCAAAATATACTGAGGATGACCCCAAATGTTTTGTTCTGTTTATAAGTGAATATTGGTAATTGTGCATTGTGGCATAGACTCCTTCAGATTTAATGATATGAAGGGATGTTAGAGCATGCAAAAGCATTCATGTTTAGCACCTGGCTAGATCTTCTTTCTCTGGATTCAGATGGTTGCCCACCACAGCATGTTTCTGGTAAAGGACATATTTGTTTAAGGAACTGAAGGCTGGTTCTATGTGACCAGCTACAGACTGTACATCTCAAAGAACCTTTTTATATTAGAATCTCAGGTGGTGTACAGCCCTGTTGTACACGAATGACATTGTATATTCAGTTTTCACTTATGCCTTGTTTAAAAAGTTTTCAAACACCAGTTCAAGGTCATAACTTAAATTACATTAGACTTATATAGTAGAATGTTAGAAAGGAGGCAATATTAATGGGAATTGTCTCAATTTTATGTTTCATTTAGATATACTGTAGTATATAAGTCATTTTGTGGATATTTTACTGTTTTTTAATTTGTTTTATAATCTTAGAATTGTAAACTGCCCAGAGTTGCTTGGTTGAGATTTACTTGGCTATAGAAACTGAATAAACAAACAAATAAAGTCATGTGCAATATGTTTTGTTTTTGCTTTGTGCATTGTATGAACTCAGTTTTTGTTTTTGTTTTATAAACCATGGCTTATAACTTAGTGTAAAGTATGTATTCAGATACTTCAGCATACAGTAGTTTAACTTCTGCATGCCACTATCTATAGATTTTACTTCTCAATATTTTTTTTACTGAGGGACACAGTAATGTAGAGGATATAGACAACAAGGAGAACTATGGAATGCTAATGGAATAACTTTAACTGCAAGGGATAGAAACTGGAAAATCACTGGTTTCCACCTGGCTTGCTACTAAACCATTTTCTTTTGAAGAGAAATAGAGTGCTCATGCATCTCTAGTTTAAATATAAATGAAGAATAAAATCCAGGAGGTTGCAGTATAAGGGATCTCAAGATCAAGGCATTGATGTTCATCTCAATGTTTTCCCATCAAACTATTTTAGGCTGGTCAATTATCTAGTTCACCTATCTTCTAGCCAAGGTTTTTTTCACCATGACTCTTTAAATATAATACAATTGGTCATGTTTGGATTAATCCCCAGTATCAAGCCATCATATGGTGTGTGTGTGTGTGTTTGCAGAATATTCAGTCAAAACAACTTTATTATGGTTAGCCTGGCATGTAAATTCAGCCTGAGTTCTGAAAGCTAGGTGTTTGCTTTAATGGAATTTCATGTTGCTTATTATTGAATAAATATTAATAGGATTACATTGACTATAACTGTACCACAACTTAACTCAGAGGCAATTTAACAGGGCCATGCCCATTACTAGCATCAATTTCTGAATTCGGTGATATTTTAAAGGCATACATTGACTTAATTACAATTCTAATTTAAAAATAAATCCTAATTACTTTTTACAGAAAACAAGTTTCAAAAGATTCAATAGAATTTTTTTTAATCGAAGAGTTGATAATCATGTTGTACCCCTTTTATAGTAATCCATATATCATATGCACCCCACCGATCTCACTTTGACACATTCCTTTACTGTTTCATTTTTTTTTTTAAAGAAACCCTGGCCGGTAGGGACAACGATATCAAAATGAAGGTCAAAATACATTTTGATGGAACCAGGCGTTTCTTCTTTCAGTAAATCTTCAATATTCCCCTACTTTCAACCACAAACCAATGTATAGGTTTTTCCCGCATTTCATGTCTATTTAGCGGGGGGGGCGGGGGGAGGGAGAGAGAGATGGGCGGAGTGTATTTAACTCTACCACACTCAAGATGACCGGAGCGCACAGTAACCGACTCGTCGATAGCCATATTTGGGAGGTCTATGACTTCTCTTAGGACATATCGCGAGAGTTCCAAACGCAGCTCCCGCCCTATCGCGCGCCGCTGGTACTCTGAAGCTTGAGGCCCGGCGCTTGTGTGTCAGTTGGCGAGCGGTAATGGCGCCGGGTTGTGGGCGGTTTTGCCGTTAAAACGACTTTGGGAGGGGGGGCGCTTCGCCGCAGCGCTCAATCCCGAAGATTTGCGGGATGAGCCAACGACCTCGGTCGCCGCCAGGAAGGAGGAGGAAGGAATGGAAGCGGCGTTAGAGCAGGTGAGGCGGCTCTCCAATTGTGGGGAGCCCTCCAGCTGAAACCCAATTGGGGGGTTCATAGGGAAAGCGAGAGAAACTTGACAGGATTTCCGGCTTTCGGTTCCTGGGATTCAGAAGGGGGTGACGCGCTGGGAGGCTGTTTTCTACTAGCCCGTTTCGGAGTTTGTACCTCTTGTTCGTTCTATCGCCGCCCCCTTTTCCGCACTCCATTCCGCTGCAGTTCGGCCTGGATTGTCACAGCTTCTTCCTGGTTTAAAGGGAGGAAGCTCGGTTATGACTTAGATCCCTGAATTAAAGAAGTGCCTCCCTTCTACCTCTATTTTCAGGCCATTATACTGCAAGAATCCAGAATGAGCGAAATTTATTTGACTTCCAGAAGAGTTATGAGTTTAAATTGTTTGAGATATAAAGAGATGGGAAAAAAAGTTATTCAGAGGGGAGTGGTTGTGATAATTATTTACAGGAACTAGCTTGAAATACAGATATTGAATATACTTATTTTTATGCATTCCCATAAGTGCTAGTGGCACAAACTCATATGCACTTGTGCAAACTAACATAAGGAATAGGGTAAGGTTTTCTCTCCAAGGAATTTACTTTTTAGCCTTATTGCATTTTAGTCTGTTTCAGCAAAAGAGACATATTACAGGCTCAGAGTTAATACTGGCAGTCCTCAATTTACAACCACAAATGAGCCCAAAATTCCTGTTACTAAGTGACACAGTTGAGTTTTGCTCCATTTTACGACCTGTTTTGCCACAGTTGTTAAGTGAATCACTTCAGTTGTTAAATGAATCTGGTTTCCCCATTGCCTTTGCTTGTCAGAAGATTGCAAAATGTGATCACATAACACTGGGACACTGCAACTGTCATAGATATGAACCAGTTGCCAAGTGTCAGAATTTTGGTCATCTGACTATGGGGATGCTGCAACGGTCGTAAATGTGAAAATGGTATAAGTCACTCTTTTCAGTGCTGTTGTAACTTCAAATGGTCACTAAGTGAACTGTTAGCTGAGTACTATCTGTAGAGTTTAACATCCTCTGTCTTTCAGTCTCCAAAACGATACAAAGAAAATACAACTGAAGTGAGTTCTTAAGTTCTTGAAAAATGGCATGGGATTTTCTTCTTTATCCTTCTGTGAACACATTAACATGGTAGTGAGAATCATATTGCCCACCAATAAGGTAATCTTTGATTCACAACAGTTTGTTTAGTGACTGTTCGAAGTTACAATGGCAGTGGGAAAATGACATATGACAGTTTGAAATGTGTTTGAATATTAGTAGCTCAGGTTGGTAGTTGGGCTGGTGGTGGTGGTTTGAGCTCCGAGCTTGGCAATTTGGTTGCAAATGTTTCATCACCATTCGAGGAGACATCATCAGTGCGCTTTGAATTGTGCTCATCTGTCAGAACACTGGCCTTTAAATACCTTTTTGACAGCTTTTCACACTTGCAACTGTAGCAGCTTCCCCATCGTCACAAGATCAAAATTCAGATGCTTGGCAACTGGCATGTATTTATGATAGTTGCTGCGTTCCGAGTCATGTATCAATTTTGCGACCTTCTGACAAACAAGGTCAATGGGGATGCCAGACTCACTTAACAGCCATGTTACTAACTTAACAACTGCAGTGATTCAATTAACCATGGCAAGAATGGTTGTAAAATGATGCAAAACTCACTTAACAAATGTTTCGTTTAGCAACAGAGATTTTGGGCTCAATTGTGGTTCATAGATTAAGGACTCTGTACTCAGCTCATAGGGAAAGTAGAAATACATTATGGGCAACCTACTCACAGAAAGAAGGCAGGATATTTCCCCATGCCCCATAGGACGGGCAGCCCTGTTGGGAGGTAGCAGGTGACATCTGTTGTTGCATGCTATGTTTGAACATGGGGATTATTTGTAATTGTCTCACCTAATAGCTGTAGACCTATTTTCCATGTTTATTTAATTCATACCATATTTTGGAGCAGTGAATTTCATAAATCATGTGGTACAAAGAGTTATCCATTTGTATGTGTTCATTTGGCTAATATATTTCATTGGATGATTGTGTCAAAAGCTGTTTGCTAATCAATATTATCTGTTGTATCATGCTGCCAGGATATCTTTATTTCTCTTTGAAAATTCTAAATGGTTGGGGAGAAAGTATCCC